GGGTAGCAGAGGAGAGTCTCTGTGAGGGCCCAGTGTTGATGGGCTAGAGACAGAAGCCATTTACTCCTTTTTGTTGTTACTGGGTAGGTGACTGTCCAGAAGTAGAATGTGAGACCCTCTAGATGTGCCGTCTTACGGAGAGTCCTCAGCTCTGTCTCACAGAGCAGGTAAGTCCTGGGTGCCTCTCGTTGGCCATTGTGAGTCCTCCCTTCTCCACTGGTGAAGTTTTCTAGTTGCATTTGTCCTGAACCAAGCATGTGGGAAAGCGAGATTTTTGCGGAATGACAGGTGGGACTGGGTGAAAGGATGGCCAGAACCCCAGCCCAGAGCTATGCCAGGTGGGTGCTACTGCAATGATCAAGCTTGAGGTGGAGACGTGGGAGAAGCAGACAGAGCTGTGGAGAGAGGCAGAACCTGAGACGCAAGGGTGAGGAACAGGCTGATAGTCTCCTCTCCCGCCTGTAAGTCCCGCCACGTTGTTCCAGCTTCTGACCCGGCCCAGTACAAGGAGACTCCTCTGTGTGTTCATAAGCAGGGCTCTGCCCGTGGCTCTCTGTGTAGTTCTGCTTGTGGCTACTGTGTGCACCACTTTCAGATGAGAGAGGGATCGTGGACACCCCCACCCCCACCAGGCTTATTGTCTACCTGACCTCCTGAATCTCTGGGAGGGTCTGGGGGGCCAGGGAGGTCTTTGCCTTAATAGCCTTCTGGACTACGATTTTTCTAGAACCCACTTGGCTCTGCTCTGGCTGGTCTGGACACAGCTGAAATATCCAGTGAAGGTTGGCCAAACATGGGAGCCTCCTGAGAGTCCTTGCTAGTGAGGATAGCCTCTGCTAGTGTGCCTGTCTGGTGCTAGGCTTCTGTGGTCCAGGCTCTGCTTGCTGCTTGCTATGCTTACGCTGTCTGCAATGTTAAAAGCAAAATGTGTGGAAGGATGTGTGCATCCATTAGACAGAGCCACACCAAAGCTCTTACTGCTTAGATTGAACTGAATCTGGCTCCAGGGTGTCTACCAGTTCTCTGATGCCCTGCCTGATGCTGGCTATGCTGGCAAGGGATGTCGGAAACACCGTGATTCTGTGGACTGAAAAGGCCCAAGGGAGTGAGGACACCATTGAGAAACAGACCCATGTCCTTAAGGTAACTGGAAGACCCTCTGAGATGGGCTGTCATAAACTGAAGCCAGGCCAGCAAGGTGAAGCCAGCCTTGCCAAAGCCTTGGTCTTGTCTCTCCAGAAAGATTTCCTTTTGTTCCTTAAAGTGACTCTAGTGAGTCCCGGGCTTTGAATCTATAGTGTACTTCCGATAGAATACCCTGAATTAGACTCTAGGTTCCCAGCTTTCCTTACAGCTGTCTGCAAAGAGACGTCAGTTGCTGCTGCTGCTGCACAGGCTAACTCAGGCTGCATAGACTTACTGGGGGCCATGCAGGGCCAGCTCTCATACCCCTCCCTACTTGTCTTTGTTAGGGTTTCTATTGCTGTAAAAAGAAACCATAACTGTGGCCTCTCTTATAAAGGAAAAACTTAATTGAGGCTTGTTGAAATAGGAGCGGCGGGGCTGTGTCCCCAGCACCCTGCCCCCCGCATGGCTAGCTTATGCTCCGAAATAACAACACAAAAACTGTATTCATTTAATCACTGCTTGGCCCATTTCTATCTAGCCTTTTCTCGGCTAACTCTCGCACCTGGACTAGCCCATTTCTAATACTCTATGTAGCCCAAGAGCTGGCTTACCAGGAATGATCTTAATCTGCGTCTGCCTGGAGTGGGAGAATCATTGCGACTCCTTGACTCAGCTTCTTTCTCCCAGCCTTCTGTTCTGTTAACCCATTTCTGTTAATCTGCGTAGCCCACGAGCTGGCTTACCAGGAATGATCTTAACCTGCGTCTGCCTGGAGTGGGAGAATCATGGCAACTCCCTGACTCAGCTTCTTTCTCCCAGCCTTCTGTTCTGTTTACTCCACCCACCTATGTTTTAACCTATGAGGGCCAAGCAGTTTCTTTATTGTTTAACCAATGAAATCAACAGATTGATATATGACACTCCCACATCAGAGGCTGACTTATAGTTCAGAGGTTTACTCCATTATCCTCATGGCAGGAAGCAAGGCAGCATGCAGGCGGACATGGTGCTGGAGAAGGAGCTGAGAGCTCTTACATCTTGACCCAAAGGCAACAGAAAATGGTCTGTCTCAGTGGACATGGCTTGAACATATATGAGTCCGCAAAGGGAGATTGGGGGTGGGGAGACTGGGCCTGACATAGGTTTTTAAAACCTCAAATCCCACCTTCCAGTGACACACTTCCTCCAACAAGGCCATATCTCCTAATCCTTTTAAAAAGTTCCACTCTTGGCCGGGCGGTGGTGGCGCACGCCTTTAATCCCAGCACTTGGGAGGCAGAGGCAAGCGGATCTCTGTGAGTTCGAGACCAGCCTGGTCTACAAGAGCTAGTTCCAGGACAGGCTCCAAAACCACAGAGAAACCCTGTCTCGAAAAACCAAAAAAAAAAAAAAAAAAAAAGTTCCACTCTTTGGTGGAGTACACATTCAAATACATGAGCCCATGGGAGCCATTTTTATTCAAACTACCACAGATCCAAAAGGCAGACCATCCATACTTTTAAAATTTATTATTTGAGGGCTGGAGAGATGGCTCAGAGGTTAAAAGAGCATTGCCTGCTCTTCCTAAAGGTCCTGAGTTCAATTCCCAGCAACCACATGGTGGCTCACAACCATCTGTAATGGGGTCTGGTGCCCTCTTCTGGCCTGTAGGCATACATGCAGACAGAATATTGTATACATAATAAATAAATAAATATTTTTAAAAAATTTATTATTTGAACTCATCCATTGGTATACAATTCATGTACTATGCAATTCACTCAAATAAGTAATCCAATGGTTTTTAGTATACACACAAATTGTGCAACCATTACGGGAGTCCAATGTCAGGAAATTGGTTCCTCAAGAAGGAACCCTTTGCTATGAAGCAGCTTCCTCTCTCCCCTCTTCCCCCTCTCCCTCCTCACACTATAGCAACCACTGAGGCACTGGCCCTGTGACATTCTGTTACTGATGTTTCTTATAACGGGGTCATTTAATAGGTGACTGTAGTTGTATATTATTTGTGCTTTGATAAATAAATCTTTCCCGAAGACCAGAGGCAAAGCTAAAGCCACTAGAGTTCAGGCAATGGTGACACACACCTTTATTCCCAGTCTTTGGGAGACAGAGTCAGATGGATCTCTGAGTTCAAGACCACCCTGGGCTACACAAAATCAATGCAGAAACAAATCCAAGTGGTGGCGGTCTACGCCTTTAATTCCAACTCACCCTTAATCCCAGCACTAGAGGGAATATAAAATGAGAGGAGAGAGAGGCAGTTCTGCTTAGTTTACGGTCGTCCAGCCTTGGTAGAGGTAAGACTTCTCTAGTGGCTTGACTACCTTGCTTTTCTGGTTTTCGGGTCGACCCCCAATTTCTGTCTCTGGGTTTTTATTATTCGTGCTACAGGCGGCCTTTCTTCCTTTGCTGTGTGTGAAGTTCGTTCGTGCCATAGGTACCGTCGTACACGCCTGTTGTTGAGTGGATTCATAGGCACACATACCTCATCTGTTTGCCCGTCAGGCTGTCTCCTCCTTGACCCTTGTGATGAGTGGGTGCTGCTATTAAAGGTGTGTGTGTTTCGGTGTGGGTGTACGTGGTTGTTTCCTGTACACACCTAGGACTGGAATGTGGTTATGTGGCGAACCCTGTTTACCTATATTTTCCAAAGGGGTTGCATGATGCTGTCTGTGTTCCTCCTGTCATCCCTGTGGGTGTGAAGCAGGGGCTCATTGCGGCTGCTGCTGATTAATGGTGTTGGGTGCCTCTCCCTGTAAGCATGTTCTGTTTAAGTTTTTTAAATTATTGTATGTGTCGAAATGTTTTCTCTTCATGTTTGTAAGCACACCATGTATGTGCCGTGGCTGTGGAGGCCAGGAGAGGACATTAGACTTCCTGGAACTGGAGTTACAGACAGTTGAGCAGTCACATGGTGTTCTGGGAACCAAATTCCAGTCCTGTGCAAAAGCAGCAGGTGCCCTTAACCCATGAGCCATCTCCTCAGCCACACTGCGCTGCCACCCCATCTGTATAGACATTCGCAGCACTCTGGCATCCATCTGTCATCTCTGAACTAGGTCTAGAGCACTGAGGTGGCCTGAATAGACACAGTCTGCTCATCCTTCCAACCTTCAGCCCAAGGAGTGATAGCATAGAAACAAAACAGGTAACAGATAAAAGGGTGGCCCTGGGAATCACCCACAACGTGACCACAACTCAGACTTAAAAAGAAAAGGAAAGAGAGGCAGTGGTGGCCCACGCCTTTAATCCCAGCACTCGGGAGGCAGAGGCAAGCAGATCTCTGTGAGTTCTGGTCTACAAGAGCTAGTTCTAGGACAGGTTCCAAAACCACAGAGAAACCCTGTCTCGAAAAACCAAAAGAAAAAAAAAAGAAAGAAAGAAAAAGAAAAGAGTCGTGAGATCATGTTTCCAGACACACGTGAAATCAGACTTGAGCATCTGTGAAGATACTCAGTTCTGAAGCTTACATCTTTAGCCCTTCAGAAACGACAGATTTGCAGTAACAGATTCAGTTGTTCAGTGTGGTGTGCCATCGTCCACAGTAAGAGCCGGCGCATCATAGGAAAGTGTGTGCCTAGACTAGACAAAAGCTAGCAAGGTGTGGGATCAAGAGGGAAGGGTCCCTTGCTGTTTGATGGGCACTGAGTATCAGTGGGAGACCAGAAGCTCTGGAGATGGAGAGGCATGGTGGTGTGCTTACTGCATTGCACTGTGCATTAAGAAGTGGCTAGGGGGCTCACTATCTTGCCGTGTTTACTGTATCACAGTAACAAGAATAACTAAGTACCGACGAGGTCCTCCCAGGTCACCTTCTCTGAAGGATGAAAACACGCAGCAAAGCCGGATTGGCCGGCTGCTGGTCCCGTCTGCACCTGCCCCTGCGCTCTCTCCAGGGCTGCCAGTGCTCTACCCAAAGCTCGACACCTGCTGGGTTCACCCAAAACCCAGGACCCCAGACCGCTACGCCTGTGCAGATGGACACCCGGGCGCCGGAAGTTCCTTGCGGGGACGTGCTGCAGAACGCGGTGAGTGACGCGTGCCCTAGGGCTCCGTGGACCGAGGTCACCGGCTTTAGGGTACTGGAAAGGATCGAGGTCACAGCCATAGGAGTGTTGGGGAACGGAAGTCGTGAGCCAAAGAGGTAGATGGCGGGCGCTGAGCTGCTGGGGACGAAACTTGTTTCTACAGAGCCCGGATCCTTGTCCCATACCTTGCTCAGCCTCTCCCCTCCCCCACTTCAATTCTGTCCTAGTCCCTAGCCACCTGAGAGTGCTTTCCCCTTTCTCCAGGTCCCACTGCCATGTCCCAGATCCCGCCCACCCCTCCTTTCCCTCCTAAAGGCTCCGCCTCAAGCCGAAGCTCCGCCCCATTCCTTCTCCTGGTGTCTTTTCTGGCCCCTGCCAAAGCAGTTCCTACTGTGGCGGTTCTGATAACCCCTGCCAGCATAACCATGATGACCATGGCAGGTCCTTGTGTTTGTCCCATTTAAAAGAGTCCACTAGAACCCACTTAATTTACATTCTTTCGGAAGGCTACCTGCCACAGGGAACCTACACTGAAGAGCACAGGGTCCAGATTCCAGGACCCGTGCTTCCATCCGTAGAACGGGCACCAAAGGTGTTGGGACAAGATCACACAAGGTAGACACATACAGGATGTGTGGACTATAAAGCATCAAACAACCCGAAAGCCTGGCAGTCACCACAGTGGCATTTCTGTAGGCGTTGTGCCGTACACTATTAAACAGCCAAAGCTCAAACAAAGGGCTCACTGGCCTTTGATTCGCCCTGAACTGTTTCCTGTGCTCACATCTCCAGGGAGACGACTTCCAGCCCCTCTGTCTTGTTTAGATCTTGTCCATCATAGTGCTCATGCTGGCACAGGCCTGTAATCCCCGTGTTGGAGAGCCGAGGCAGGAGGATCTAAGTTCCTGGTCAGTCTGGGATACATAGCAGACCGTGCCTCAAAAAACAAAACAAGTGCCCTGCATCATGGGGAATGACTTATTTTCCCCAAGACTGTGAGGCAGAAGGAGATTAATGAACATTGGAAGCCATCTGGGTCCATACAATGGTTCCAGCGCAGCTGGGATGAATAGGGAAGCCCTGTCTCAAACAACAACCACAACAACAACAACAAAAAAAAAAAAAAAAACGAAAGAAAACGAAATCAATGGGCATGTATGTTTAGGTACTCCATGATATTTATGATGTCCTACACTAATATAAATATCTCATTCAGTTACCTAAGGTTTATTTTCAGGCAGAAAATCTACTTCAGGAGCTTGAAGAACACTTCCGAGCTCTGACTACAACATTAAACCTCAGAAATATCCTTTTCTGGTCTTACCAAACACTAGCAAGCTGTCGGCTGGTAGATTGCAGCGGAGTAGTGTCTTGTTCTCCGATAGCAGCGTGTGACTGCTTCCACGTGATTTCCTAGTGTTTGCGTTTGTGCTTCTATGTGGCAGCTGGTGTATTAAACATCATTAGCTGTCACAGGCTTGGCTTCCGTCTGACTGGCAATGCAAGGCACTAAACGGCCAGTAGAGAAAGCTGAGAGAGAAGACCTCAGCTCTGGCTGAGGGGCTGCCCTGCAGGCCGAACTGAGCCTGTCTGGATGGCAGCACAGCCTCCGCAGCAATCGGGAACCTGAGAGAGCAGTGTTGATGGTCCCCCGCATGGAAGGCCGTTCCTAGGGCCTACCTTCGATTTGACTGGAACAAGCAAGTTGGTGTTTGTCTCAGAAGAACTGGCCCCACATGTCAGTGAGCCTCTTCATGTTGAGAATGGCAAGCTGGAACTGGGCAAGCATTTCAGTGACTTGCTTAAACTGGTTCTGTGATGGCTTTACTTGTGAGTTCACTAGGATATAGTTATTTTATAAAATTTAAAAATAAAATATAGTGCTGGGCGATGGTGGCGCACGCCTTTAATCCCAGCACTCGGGAGGCAGAGGCAGGCGGATCTCTGTGAGTTCGAGACCAGCCTGGTCTACAGAGCTAGTTCCAGGACAGGCTCCAAAGCCACAGAGAAACCCTGTCTTGAAAAACCAAAAAAATAAAATAAAATATTTAATCCCAGCACTTGGGAGGCAGAGGCAGGCAGATCTCTGTGAGTTCGAGACCAGCCTGGTCTATAAGAGCTAGTTCCAGGACAGGCTCCAAAACCACAGAGAAACCCTGTCTCGAAAAACCAAAAAAATAAATAAGTAAAAAAAATTAAAAAAAATATAGTGTGTAAATATAGGTTAGCATCTGCCCTAAGACTTGCCTAATGGAAGGGGTTTTTAGACATGATTTTTTTACATGATTAAATTCACTTTAAACGTCATATTAAGGGGCTGGAGAGATGGCTCAGCTGTTAGGGCATGTGCTGCTCTTACAGAGGGCCCAGGTTTGGTTCCCAGCACCCACAGAGTGGCTCACAACCATCTGTACCTCCAGTTTCAGAGGATCCCACACCCCTTTCTGATCTCCTCAAGCACCAGGCCAGTCTGTGGTGAACATATATACATTCAGACAAAACACTTACACACCTAAAATAAATAAATCTGAAATAATAAATCAAGTGAAGTGGGCCGTTGAAATGAGTCAGTCTGCGGGAGTGCTTGCACCACGCCTTAGTTCCATCCACAGGCTCCCTCCTGAAAAGAGAGAACTGTTACAGAGAGTTGTCCCTTGACCTTCAAACCTGTGTCGTTTGTACGTGTGCACACACGCACACATACACACACACACACGCATACACACACACACACATAAACACACACACGCATACACACACATACACACACACATACACACACACGCATACACACACACACACTCATCCAACTCGCGTACATGCACTAAATACTTTTTCTGATTGGTTTTTATTGAGCTCTACATTTTTCTCTGCTCCCCTCCCTGCTTCCTCCCTCCCCCCCAGTTTTTAACAACTAAGCTACCAAGAAGCTGGTTTAAAAATGAGCTAATGTCCATCATAGTTACACTCAGTGACTCAGAGTTCGGCTAAAGCTCGCCAAACTCAAATTCAACCCTATGTCCAAGCAGAGGGCACTGTCTTCAGAACTTAGTCCCCAGCTGAAGACACAACATCTAGTCCACAGTTAAAGACAATGTGCTAAGAAAAGCCGGGGGAGGGGTAATTACACGGACTTTGGACAGCCTGACTTCCTCACTGGGCAAGCCGCTCTGCTGTATGTCCAGGGCCATGTGCCGAGCAGGTGCAGGTTGAAGCAGGAGCTTTCCGTGAGTCGGGCTAATGGGACCCACATGTGCCATTCTCCTTGACATTGTACTGGAAGAAATGGGAAGTCGCATCGAGGACCTACAGAAAAATGTTGATGACCTAATGGCTCAAGCTGGAATCGAGAATTCAGTCAAAGAACAGATGGTAAGGCCATGGTTAAGACACAGCCTGTGTGTATCAGTTCACCGCTATGTGAACTGTCCCTGGGTGACATGAAAAGTCTTCAGTACTAAGGAGAGGTGCATCCATGTGCTCTTTTACCACTAAACCGTGGTTGTCATTCCTAAAAGGTACATATTCCACGTGAAAATTCTCATTTAAGAATTAGATTTTATGCCGGGCAGTGGTGGCGCACGCCTTTAATCCCAGCACTCGGGAGGCAGAGGCAGGCGGATCTCTGTGAGTTCGAGACCAGCGTGGCCTACAAGAGCTAGTTCCAGGACCAAAAAAAAAAAAGAATTAGATTTAATAAGAGTATTTTTCATCCTTATTCCTCAAGTCACTTTTTATTCTTTTTTTAAAAAATATTTATTTATTTATTTGTTTATTTATTTATTTATTTATTTATTTATTTATTATGTATACCGTATTCTGTCTGCATGTATGCCTACAGGCCAGAAGAGGGCACCAGACCCCATTACAGATGGTTGTGAGCCACCATGTGGTTGCTAGGAATTGAACTCGGGACTTCTGGAAATGCAACCCATTATGGCACTGTTGACACATACGACATTCTACTTTCTTCTCACTTATCCCCCACATGGTCATCCAACAGTTTAGATACCCTGTTTACCCTGTTTACCTCATAATCAGGTTATGGTAAATCACCCCTGCTTACCCAGCTAAAGCAGAGCTAGGTCACCTATCAGTGATGCATGGCTATCCCAATCGGTGGTTTCAAAACACTGGAGGATCGCGCATGGGGAGATCCCATCCCCCAAACTCAACACGACAAAGTAAAAGTAAAATTTCTGACTGGAGGCAAAATATGCAGCTTTCTTTACCTATGAAAGTCCATTCAGTCGTGCCCGGTTCATCCAGGTGCCTCCAGGCACTGTGGACTCCAAATCCTCCACCCTCCCTCCGGCAAATTCCCAATTCCCATCTTTTGAGTCCAGGGCACTAGCCCGGTGGTGGTGGCTCACGCCTTTAATCCTTGGGAGGCAGAGGCAGGCGGATCTTTGCGAGTTCGAGACCAGCCTGGTCTACAAGAGACCAGGGCAGTAGAGTGACGGCAGGAGCAGACAGGCCTCATCTGATACAACGGCTGCTCTGACTGTCACCTGCAGGGTGAGCTTCTCAGGCTCTGGCTCTGAATCCAATGGATTAAAACACCAACTAGATATAGGTTTAGATGTCGAATTGAGTGTTTAAGTAATTGTCAAAATGTTGCTTCCTTAATGCACACAGTCACCAAAGTCTTTCAGAACAAAGGCCTGAGTAATTAGAAGACTTACACCAACTTGTGCTTGCTCTCGGCTGGGGGTTTCACACGGGGCTTCAGAAACCCTGCAAAGCCTACATGGTTCTCCCATTGTGGAGACAGTCCCATACCCATACTAAAAACTGTTACATTTGATGACGTAGGCTTTTTATCTCTGCTTCTAAATTGTACAATCTTTCCCGGCATGCAGTAAATGCAGAATTTTGTCTAGAAAGTTTCTGTCCTACACACTAGAGGACAGTGAGTTGGGGGGTGGTTAGTCACAGTGACAGACTCCATGCTGCTGCCCCAGTGCCTACAGAGTGCCCTTATCTGAAGAAAAGGGACTTCTATCATTGAAGTATTTCTCTATACTGAATTTTGCCTATATACAAATGTTTAACAATTGCTAGTAATTATGGAATTTTATTGAAAACTACTCTAGGAATTATTTAACTGAACATTAATTAGTCTGTATATAAACCATGTAAATGGGGCTGGAGAGATAGCTCAGAGGTTAAGAGCATTGCCTGCTCTTCCAAAGGTCCTGAGTTCAATTCCCAGCAACCACATGGTGGCTCACAACCATCTGTAATGGGGTCTGATGCCCTCTTCTGGCCTTCAGGCATACACATAGACAGAATATTGTATACATAATAAATAAATAAATAAATAAATATTTAAAAAAAATAAACCATGTAAATAAGCTTATCTCTTTTAAATTCTCTTTCAGACCTGAAGATGTTAAACGAGCCATGTGAAATTGCAAAAATGAAACCTATACTGTTTGAGTAATCTGTGCAGTATGAATTTTGATGTTCGGTTTTTAATTTTGTTTTTTAGAGACTTGAAATCAAACCCAGGACCTAAAATGTAGTAGACAAGTGGCTACCACTGGGCTATATGCTAACCCATTAAAAAAACAAATAAAAAACAAGAGCAATAAAATAGCATACTTCAGAAAGTGACTATATACCAAAGATGAGACTTGTAAATAAGGACTAAATGTTTTCAATGCATATTTGTAAATCATGGAAGTAAAGCATACACTATATTAATTAACATATTTTCCAAATTAAAATTCTACATTGACTTATTATTATTATTATTTTGGTTTTTCGAGACAGGGTTTCTCTATGGCTTTGGAGCCTGTCCTGGAACTAGCTCTGTAGACCAGGCTGGTCTCGAACTCACAGAGATCCCCCTGCCTCTGCCTCCCGAGTGCTGGGATTAAAGGCGTGTGCCACCATCGCTCGGCTCTACATTGATTTAAAAAAATCAGTTGTCTGATGTAACTGCTTTTAGCTGTTTAAATTTTTATTAATTTTTTTCTTTTTCTTACAACATATTTTATCATATTCTTTCCCTTCCCCTTACTCCTTGCACTTCTTCCCTCCCCCTCCCTGCTCACCCAATTTTTGGTTCTTTCCTGAAGCTGCTTTTATTATTATTTTTTTAAAACATTTTTTTAATATTTATTATGTATACAACTGTCTGTGTGTATGCCTGCAGGCCAGAAGAGGGCACCAGACCTCATTACAGATGGTTGTGAGCCACCATGTGGTTGCTGGGAATTGAACTCAGGACCTTTGGAAGAGCAGGCAATGCTCTTAACCTCTGAGCCATCTCTCCAGCCCCCTGCTTTTATTATTTTTATTTTCTTTTTAATCAATATGATGCTCTTCTAAGCAAATGAACCTGGTAACTTTTTTTTTTAACTTTCTTGAGATTTATTTTTTTTTATTTTAAGTATGGATGTTTTGCTTGCGTGTCTGCAGTGTCTGGTAGAGGGTGTTGGAGGCCATGGAACTCCAGTTAAGCACGGTTGCTAGCTGCGATCTTCAGGCTTGGGAGTCTCATCCAGGTCCTCAGGAAGAGTAGTTAGTGCTCTTAAGCCGTGGAGTCTTCTCTCCAGCCCCACATGTATCTGCTTTTAAACACCTATTCTAGCTCCCTCCTGCTCCTCGCTCGTGCCTTCAAGACTCGACTGAACCCAACCAGGCTAAGGAAACTCAGCAGCAACTGTTCTGCAAAATGAAGACCCCGGAGCTCAGCCAAATCAACACATAGGAACTAGAACAGCAAGCTTCTCGCCCTGAGAACCCTGTTCCACAGCAACCATTCTGTCCTTTATCTCTTCCTCAGGGGCAGATGCTTTTCTCCCAGAGGGAGCACTCCTATGCCTTGAGGTGATCCTCACCCCACCAAAGAATCACTGAAGAATAGAACAAGGTCAAGATAATTTCATAGGCTATTCAGCCTTTTGGATAGTTACTCAAACCAATGTAAAATAGCTATTGCCATCTAAAGGGCCTCATTCATAACAAGATACTTCTACATAATATAAACTTAAAATCACTCCAGTTCCACCACCAATTGGCCACTGGTGACACTTGTCCTATGGAGTTTAATATGTTCAATCAAGTCACCTCTAATATCCTATTCTCTTTAGCTATCATAACATCGTCCACGTGAACATTTCACTGTTTTCCCTCAGTGGCTGCCGAATACTCCAGTATATGGCAATTAGTTATCTAGGCAACTAAAGGTTTACTAGTTCTTGGACATTGAGATAATTACTTCTTTTTGTGATCTAATTAATAATGCCATTGTGAGAAATTACCGACAAAACCCTTGCACATTTCAGCAAGTCAGAAATGCGACTAAATCCACAGCATTCAGCCAAGCACAGCTAAGAGAGGAAGGACCATGCAATGTTCCCAACGATAGTAGCCGTCTTTTGATCCTAACGGGTGTGCCTTAAGTTGGATCATTCAAGATTGAAAGTTTAGTGGTTTGAAGCCATGGTAACACCATTTGACCATGCACTAAATTTCAGAGCCTCTTAGCCATCACTGTAATTCTAGCAGTCTCAGTGGATAGTTGAAGAAAGTCAGATTTGAGACCTCATCATTAGTCATGAAAGCTATTGCCCAAGCCTGAAATACCTGCAATAGGGAAACCGAGGCAGGAAGATCGTGAGTTTGAGGCTACCCTTGGCTCCATAGCAGATACCTGTCAAAATGAACAAACAAAACCCCCGCAGATTAAGATTATATACCCAATATTCCCGAAATGAGTTCTCTCTGGCCTTCTGTGAGCCTCCATGTTCATCCATCTTATTTTCCTTACTCCACTTTTGGTTTTAATTTAAAACTAATGGCTTGCAGGGGTCATCTTTAATCCCAGGCAACAGAGGCCGGCAGATCTCAGAGTCTGAGCAGCCGCATCTATTTAGTGAGTTCTAGGCCAGCCCTGTCTCAAAAACAAAGTACAACTTTTATGTTTTCAGTTGGTTGAAATCTGGATTTATGGATGGGGCTCCTCACCCATACTCTACTTTTCGGCTGTGCTCTGTATGCTGCGCTGTATCTGTCTCTGTCATGCTTCTCTGCGGCTCCAGAGCTGTCAGGGGCTGCCCACCCTCAGGGCTCCTAAATGGCCCAGTGTGAACATTGCGTGTTCATGTGCTAGGTCTTTGTCTTGCATGCTCTGAGCTGCACAGGCAGACTGCAGCCTTCTGCACCTTGCTATTTGTTGGTCCCTGGGATTCTGGACCAACAACTCAGTGCCATGCAACAGTAACTGAGCCGTTTAGTTTCTCTTTGTGCCTGGTGCATCCCCGAATAGCACTGCAGTAAGGCTGCCATTTTCCTTGTGTGCACTGGCAAAGTTGTATCCCCTGGGTTTACTTCCAAGCTTACTCTTCTCCCATCCAAGTACTAACCAGGCCCGACCCTGCTTAGCTTCTGGGATCAGACGAGATCAGGCACATTCAGGGTGGTATGGCTGTAGATCCAAGCTTACTCTTCTCTATCTTAAGTAATTCCTGGGCATTGCCTAAAGGGCATCCTGGAATGTTTGGAGATGAAGCTCCAGGTGCTGAGAGGTCCACCAGCTGGTTTCAGCTGGATCCAAGCAGGAATGTGAGATCAAGTCAACGATTCTGCAGTCTGGGAGCACCAGTGAAGATGGTCACAGAGCGAGAACCAACTGAACAAAACTTGTGCATTTGGAATGGTCTGAATATTTACATGTCTTCAACTGGTATGTTGGGACGCTGGCCCCATGACAGCTGTATTTGGAGAGACAGCCTCTAAGGAAGTAATTAGGGATAAATGAGGTCACAAGAGAAATGAGGTCACCAGGGCAGCACTCTGATCCAGCTGGTCTGGTGTCCTCATAAGAGACAGCATTTGCTCTTTCTCTGTGTGCATACTAAGGGCAGACCATGGGGACACAGTGAAAAGGCTGTCCCTGCAAGCCAGTGTCCTGATGCTGAACTGTCTCCAAACCTTGGCCTTGTACTTCCAGAACTGAGAAAATCCACTTCCCTTGTTTAGGCCCATCTGTTCGTTCTGTTAGGACAGTGTAGTAGGGAGGGGGCCGCTTGTTCATCCCGGCCGCCCAGAACCAAAATAACCACACAGAAAATGTATTATTTAAAACACTGCTTGGCTCATCAGCTCCAGCTTCTTATTGGCTAACACTTATATCTTAATCTAACCCACTTCTAGTAATCTGTGTGTCGCCATGTGGCTGCGGCTTACCAGGTAAAGTTCTCTCTGGCTCCAGCTGGGTTACATGGCTTCTCTCTGACACCACCCTCCGTTCTCCCAGCATTCGGCTTAGTTTTCCCTCCCTAGCTCTGTTCCCCTATAGCTCTGCTATAGGCCCAAAGCAGTTTCTTTATTCATTAATCAATAAAAGAAGGACCTCCCACACCAGGACAGTTCAAGCATACGGTAACAAGAGGTATACAATGAACAAGGAATGTGGAAAGGAAAATGTTTGCTCACCTTTTTCTCATAATATCTGAACAACTATTATCAATAAAGTGTAATCTAACTTCATACAATTCACCCCAATTCAGTAAACAACTATTTGACCTTATGTTCGTTGTGCAAACAACGTAAGTAATTCTAGAACTTGTTCATAATCTCAAAGAAAACCCACAGGCAATTGCTACACACCCACCTCTTACCACACCAAGTCCTACATAACCACTCATCCACTTCCTGTCTGCACGGACTTGCCTGTCTGCACATTGTGTCTGTTCATGCAGGAGTGGACACCCGGGCTCCACATTTGGGCAGCTGTGGATACATATTTCTGTGTGGACATTTGTTCTTCTTTTGAGGGTTGGGATATACCTAGGAGTGACAAGGCTAGAATATAATATCATATTGAAGTTTCTGAGGACATGCCTATCTCGTTCCCCAAGGTGACTACATCATCCCATCATAATCCCACCAGCAGCTTATGAAGACTACAACTTCTCCCCGTATTCACCACTTGTTACTGCCCATTCTTGTGAATACAGCGAAGAAGAAATGAAATCAAACTGTGGCTGATTTCATCTCCTTCCCGAACAGTGGTACTGAGTGTTTTTGTTTTCTGCTCATTTCTCCTTCTCTAAAAGAATGCCAGGAATATACTCAGTGTCTGTTATATGCGAGGTGCTCAAGGTCACATATTTAAAAAACTTGCTACTTATAACACTAAGATGTAGTTTGACTTATTTTTGACTTTAAAAAATTTTATTTATTTTTATTTTATGTGCACATTTGTCTGTGTAAGGATGCCAGATCTTGGAGTTACAGACAGTTGTGAGCTACCATGTGGGTGCTGGGATTTGAACCCAGATCCTCAACTGGTGCTCTTAACCACCGAGCCATCTCTCCAGCCCCAATTTTTTGACTTTTTGAGATACGGTATTTTAGCTCAGACTAGCCTTGAATTCCAGTTCCTTCTGTCTCCATCTTGAGTGTTATGATCACAAACACATGCATCACCGTGCCCATTTTTATATCATTCATTTCTTTATAATTTATTTTTAGTTGGAAAGAATTTTCTATCCACTTTCCACTTTGCTTACATGCCTGGAGAAGAATAGCTATAGCTAATTGTGGTAATTTAGTTTCTAGAAGTAAACTATCTTGCTTCTCTATGTTCTTGACTGCCCTGCCCCAGGGACCCTAGTAAAGATATTTGCT